TAGGAATGTGTTCTCTTCTTCAAAAAATACGTGTACGGAAACTGAGTCCTGAATACTTACTGCACTTAACCTATGATGAGGCAATAATCTGCTGTACCAGTGGTAGCATGACAACGACGCTTTAATGACCTTTACATTTTTTAAAATTTTCAAAATGCCGAAAACCACGTTGGATGGGTCTTCAAATCGCCGAGCCCTGTTCTGGCCGGAATGGTCTGAGACTGACATAGCATCAGAAAAATGGGTACATTGCATTCATTTTGACTACATGTTCTAAAAGGATACGGTGGGGAAACGGAAAGATGCTAAAAAGGTACTCTCCGTAAATTATTTTAACGTAACAAATTTGTTGCCAGACTGCAGAGCAAATGCCCTTATTTGAAGATTTCGAAGGCCAAAGCGCTTTTCCCCCAGGTCAAGTGCCTTTCCGTTTAATTCGTGCGACCGATTATTTTGGCGTAAAAGTAATATACACATATTCATACTGTCATTCTGCTACATATGTAGCCCGTCATCAAGTCAGGAAACCGAATAAACGGCAACGAAATTATGCAACAAAATGGACATCTACTCACTTCAGCGGTAAATTGACAAATGTAACTTTATTTCAGCTGTTACACTCCATGATTACCGACATTATTATATTGTGGAACTTTATGAAAGTAGAAAACGAAAAAGTCAGCAGCATGGACCGCAGACCCACCTGGGCTCCATGGGATCATATTTATCCACAAATTAAGTCAGGAGACAATGCGAAGGCACCCGTTTTCAACCAAACCGGAAAATATGCAATAAAATTATTTTGGCTTGTTCGTTAATTTCATTTTCCTGACACCGACCTTTGAGGGTTCGTGGCGAAAGTTGTACGTTGATGACATTTTGCCCCTTAACCAGCAAAATCAACCGCTACTCCCTGTTTCTGAAAACCCCGGTGAATTATGGCTTTTACTGCTGACAAAGGCACTGCTTAAAGTAGCTCTTTTAAGGTATTTATAAGAACTTTGGTTTGTTAAAGTGAAGTGCTGATCCTTCTGAGTCTTTTAGTACGATTCACTCCCTCACAGGATGGTTGCCACAGAGGATGTTTTTAAAGTATTGTCTTGTACCCATATTATTGTATCATTAGAAGTTCTCCTTGGGGGACTTGGAACTATCTAAATGGTATTTTGCCTTCCTGGAAAAGAGGTGAAAATTCGCAGAAATCAACGGCGGAACCACGAATATCAGATGCATTAATGGAGAAGTCTGTTTCGTCGCCGTCGAAAGTGAAATCAAAAGGTTCCAAAATTATATTCTTGTGCTGCTAATTAAACTTAATTAATCTGTGCTTTTTCCAGATTCTGACCAAACAAAACCACAAGCAATCATAGATGACAACCAGAAATTAATAGTTGCTTTTGGAAGGGAAAAAGATTTATCCGAGCAAAATTTCAGGAATGTGGTAAGTACAAATTTCCGATAAAGGTGTTGAAAGCCTGGTAAAAGATAAGTGGATTTTAGTCGTTGGGTGGGAACAACCTCCGATTTTTGCTGCCACGAAAAACAAATGTTAACATTTCCTGTTTTTGAGCGTTACCTCACAGATTGCGTGATGAGCATTGTTCTTAGTTGGGTTACTCCCTATAGGAAAATCGACTCTTATTGAGCAGCCAAACAGGCTAAGATTTTGAGATAGCCCTGTGTTATTGGCTACGACAATGTTTGGGCTTTATAAAGGAGACAGATGTAACGATGAAACAAATGATGCAACCCACCCATATTGTGACTCCCCACTGATAGCATTACTAGCGACGTATGATTATTTATGTATGGCTAACAACTTTTGCACTTAGTAAACCAACAAAGCTATATCAGCATAAACATAAAAGTAAAAGTCGCAGATATTACGAGTATACTGATTTACACAAAAAATATGTTTTCCCCATGTTTCTCAAAATTTTCACGAGACTGCATCAACTCATACATTACGGCTCGTTCCACCATGACAGGCAAAAAAAGATCGCGACCAGATTCACGGATTGCTCAAAGAGAATTTTCCTAAAGCACTAGTAAAGTGCATTAGAAATATACCTCTTGTTCCACCCAATGAGGTCAAGCCTATACCTCGTTGGAAGTCAATTCGTCCACGGGTCGATTTCCGTTATGCTGAACAGCATCCGGACAGTACTCAAGAAAATGAACCAATTCAATCCCTTCTTCTTCAGTTTTGCATTGCTCAGAGGTGAGTCGAAAAGTTAACTTGATTTGAAATTGTTAATGTATGTGTGAGCGCATCTGGTTTGAATAACCAAGATCGATTCCTAGTTTATTTAACACTGGTACGCTCAAAATGTCATTTCGTGGCAATCTAGGCCGTTGAATATTTTTCAAAATCGTCTGTCCGTGTACTTTTCTAAAATCAGCCCTTCGAATACGGATGAGATTATGTGTTTAAGTTTATAAATTNGATTTTTGTGAGCTATTTTGGTAAGTGATGCATTGAATTCTCCTCTCAACGGACATCAAGGTCTACCTCAGTGACAGATAAACCCCGGAAATACTGACGGTTGTGTATATGCTAATTTTATCAACTCATTTCATTGGGTTCCGAGACGAGGAACGGTGTTGTTTTAGATCTTAAACAGAGCCAAACGTTTTGTTGACGAACCACTGTCGGAGTGAGATCTGATTCCTAGATGATACACATAAGACGAAGGTTATTACTGGCCATTCGTGGAGCCCGACCTCCTTTCTTGTTGATTGGTCCTTGTGTTTTCACCGAAAGCGGTAAGAGCAAGTGAGGCCGAGTTTTTGCCCAATATAATCCAGGTCTAGCTCATGTCATTACTGACTCCAAATCCGTATTGGTCTTCATGGGCCGCAAAAGACCGCCGAGTCATTAAACATGCGTGGAGTACACAATTCGAGAACCATATTTCCGAAGAAAAGTAGCAATTAGAACACATTTTGTTCCCGTCAAATTGTTCCTTATTTGAAAAGTCAAATTGGCGAACACGTGTTTGCAGTAACTCTTCATCAGGCCAAAACGGTTACAAAGAAGTTTAAGTTATGCGAATTACATGACTTATAGTGATTCGGGGACAATTAACATCCATCGTTCCCACGCCAATCATCGCTCCCACGCCACTCGTATGACGAGGCGCGCTATGGCGTGGTCGGTGTGTCGTGGTCATTGGGTTAAGGGGGCGAGGGCGAGGGGGGGCATAGGCTGTG